CAATATTTGTCGATTTCCATCTAACGGTGCGCAAGTAAAGTGCTTCCCCCAGTCAATAGAAATGTAATCTCAGCCGTCGCACTGCCTGCTTGGAAATCGGACGATCTACGACAAATTACGAATTCGCGACATGAAATACCCTCATGAGTTTTCTGTGTATTTCATCCAGGCCGAGGCTCACAGTTCATACGCAGTGCGTATGAACAATTTGGGCCGCGGGTTAGAGTGGGCCGTTTTAAAACCCGCAGTGCGTTCAAAAATAGTGCTTTCGTGGGTGTAGAGTGGGGTAACGTGACTCTCGTCACTCGGGGGTGCCTTTCAAGTTCACAGCGCTATGTATTTTGGAACTCCATGTGTAGCGCATTTTTCGACCGTCCATTTTCACAGATCTACATCTGATGGTCTCCACACCAACTCTTTTTTCCAGAGCACCACCACTCATTCGGGGCTCAGTTTCAACCGTACAAAATTTTGAGGTCGAATCTAACGGTGCACAAACACTTTTCAGGTCACAAGGAAAAACACCCTCTCGTTTTTTCCGTGCGTTTCGTATTACGGCATGCCCAGAGTTCATTCGCAGTGGTGTTTGAACAATTTAGGCCGCATGTTTTAATGCTCAGCCTTGGTTTCAAGAGTATAGAGCTATGGGCAATGGCTTATTTTGGTGGGTATGTGGCGAATGCCAACCTCGTTTCGATGGGTGGCAAGAGTGTCGTCTTTGTGCAAAAGGAAACCATGTTATCTGGCGAATTCAACTTCAGAAAATATTGAAGTTGAATTCAAGCATTCGGTACGGTGGCATGTGACTTCCATCAGCTCTTCTTGAGTTCGTCCTCTCACATACTGTAATGCCCCCGTATATTGTACCCGCCAAAATTCAGCACCCCGCGTAGCTTGAGCGGGGATGGGTGTTTAATTTAACTGGATCTAGATAGCACCCAACTTTTGGGCATGGAAACATTTGAACACCCCCCTTCCATCCAGAATTTCCATTTTGGAAGGAAACACAAGGATTTGTTGTGCATAATTGCGTGCTCCCATACCTTTTTCCCTCTCCTGTTGTGCCATGCGTATAAACATGAGGGCAAGTGGGGAAAACGAGCTAGTGGTCAAAGTGATGCGAGTATTAAGGTAGGAAACCTTGAAATACATTTTTTTTGCCGAATCTGTCAGAACGAAAAAAAAAAAAAAAAAAAAAAACATCGAAATACAAAAATTCGATGCTCGACTTTCGTGCCCTCCCACCACGACAAACTTCTGCTGCCGCCCACTGATTGGAGGCATCAAGGACGAGGCCTGCAACACTCGTTGATTGGTTGCATTATTGCAAGCATGGGGCATGTCGTCGGGTACATGATTGGGTAACCAAAAGTAGGCACATGACTTCCAACAAGCAGGTGAAGCATGCAAAATTCATAATGAATTTGAAAAACCATATGCACGTTCCAAAGCTCCTTGGTGTTATACGAAAATTGCCTTTATTTACACCCACCCTGAAATTTAGATGAATTCTTCTTACCACCATAGGGTACTATACTCGGGGGTTACGGTATAAACCCCCAACATTTAACAACACCCATAGTGTTTTACCATGGCACCTTCAAATAGAAACATGTTGCTTCAATGGCGCTTCATCCTTGGCAAATAGGCCGCAGGTTGTAGTACAAAAACTGATATTTGCACCAACAGTTTTGAACTCATTTCAATTTTCAAATTCTAGTCAAAGCATCCGAAGTGCCTTAGCCGCTTGCATGTGTAGCCATCTATATAATGCCCTTGCGATTCGCCAGCATAGAGGGGGGCAGCGGTCTAGAAACTTGACGCGTGGCATTGCCAAAACTTTGACAGGGTGGGCTGCCCTTCAGGTTTAGGGCATTATTGAATGCACATACCAAAACCAATCTTGATTACTTTCCGTTGTCTTGTCCACGTGATTGATTCTCCATGGTTTTTTACAAAACCTGAGGGTGATTTTGCTGGGAGATAATGATACCAGGATAGCTATCAGCAGAGTCTCATACGGTAAGGAGATCAGCCCGGAGTTTCTGGGTTATGGGGTGTGTGGGAGGAATATCTCTGGCTGTGGCCGGAACTTTGATCGGTTAATTGGATTTGTTCAAGTAACGTTTTTCGCTAGCGTCGCGGAAAGCCTCATCAACAAGCTTTCGCAAATAGGTGACAGATTACAAAACAACCAGCGTTCGTTTAGTGAGGCAACTTGACAAGATTCGCTTTGTGGACGAAAAGCCACTCGTAATATGTGAAAAGCGTCATTTCGGGCGGGGCAAGATTTGGGGTGTTTTCGAGCTCTTCGCTCCTGCGATGTTTTGTTTTCACCAAAACCCAATTTTGTGTTCCAAGGTTCGTGTCGGAGTGTAACATTTGTTTTCTTATACAAACACTTGACCGTGAATCTTTACCAAACGTGCGAAAGTTCTGTTAGCACTAATTGTTTGATCTTTTCCAGAATCAGAAAATGTGTACTATGCGTGCGTGGCCGCGCTGCTGTAGCTCGCGCAGGAGGAAGTACCGCAGCTGGATCTGCTTCACTCTGACCTCTAGTTGAGGCTCTTGACACAGGAGGATCATGGCCCTGCGGTCAGGGTACATGACCAGGGCAGAGGTAGGCCGCTCACCTAAGTTAGTGAGCACGAACGTCAGCCAGCGGAGCTCCCGTGTCGCCATGGCACCAGTGTAGATCTCAGCCTCACAGCTGCACCAAGGCTAACGCAGTAGCCATGGGAGGACCTGAATGTCTCAACGTCGTCCGCCCACGAAGCATCTGTGTACCATGTAAGAACCATTGGCTTGCGTCCTCCCAGCACTAGCCCCATGCCTGATGTACTTACAAGATATCGCAACACCCTCTTAGCAGCCGACCAGTGCTGGGTTCGGTTTCTGCCTGTCGCTACAAAGCGAGCAAGGATAATAAGGGGGTATGCGAGATCTAGACAAGTGCAAGTCATGAAGTACATAAGGCAGCCCACAAGCTCTGCGTACTGACCACTGGGCTCGACCGGCTCGTCAAGGACCGGAGCTGAGAGCCTGTGGCTGACTGGCAGAGGGGTGGGCTGTACGGAGGAGAACTAAAGGCCGAACCTCTGAAGGACCTGGCGCACTGTCGGCAAATCAGTCTCTGCTGGCTTCCTTCCTTTCTGCACCTTCCCTTTCTCCCTTCTCCTTGGCTCCTAGGACACAGCTCTTGCATACCTCTTCTGTCCTTCGCTTTTGTCTCTGTCGGTGGCCTACGGTGTCTCAGGTTGACTCCCCACTTGCCCCCTCCCAGAGGTGGCCGGCCCCTGCTTAGCCTGCTGGGACTCTACTCCCGCTGCTGTGTCCCCCTTGCCCGTGCTACGTTCGTCACGTGGTCGTGCTTTATCTTGCCGTCTGCACTCTCCAACACTAGCACCCCTGACGGCTCACCTCCTTCACCCTCCACCTTTCAGTCGTCAGCCCCACGTCCAGCTGGTCCTGCTTTGCCTTTCCTAAGTACACCTCATGTCCCACCGCCACTGTCGGTCCTCCCAGGAGACCTCGCTGTCGCTGCCGCTGCTCGTACCATTTTGCGTCCCTGAGCTGTGCCATGTGCAGATTTTCCAGCGCCGCCGGCAGCAGGTCCTTCAGATACTTCGCCCTGGCCGCCGCCAGCGCCGCCCACTTGTCCGGATCCTCTGAGATTATGACGTCTCTCAACAGTTTCGGTGCCTCCACTGGCGGGATTGGCTCTCTGCCGAACAGCAGATAATACGGAGATAGATCGACAGGGCTGCTTGCTTGCTAAAGCAATACCCCGCTGCTATCCATTGCAGCTCCTCGTCCCAGTTTCTTTTGTTCTCCTCCCCGTAGGCCCGCAGTCCTCGCTTGAGAGTTTGCACCATTCTCTCAGTCAAGCTGTTTCCTTGTGGGTGATACCTGGATGTACTCCTATGCATAATACCCACTTCCTTCAACAGTTGCTCAAAAGCCCCCAGGAACTCCGTCCCTTAGTCCGTTACCACCTCGGCGCACGCCCCAAAGCGAGTCAGCACCTGGTCCGTAAAGGCCTTCGCCACTAACGCCGAGCTCTTGCTGGCGCAGTGCCCTGACTTCCACCCATTTGCTGGCATGTTCCATCATAACTAGTATGTACTTCTTGCCCTTGTGACTGATTGGCAATTCGCCGGCCATGTCCAAAGACCATCGAAATCCTGGTTCCTGTGACTCCAAGGAGTGCAAGCGCCCTCTGTCCTGCTCCAGAGTCGTTCTGTTGCGGCTGCAGGCCTCGCATTGGCCCACTATTTCCCTCACTTGCCTTCCCAGGCCTGCCCACCTGTAGGCATTAGCCACCAGTTGCGCCGTCCTTGCATGACCGAAATGCCCCAGCTTGCTGTGCACCTTCTTGATGATCTCTTCTCTCTCCTCCGGGCGCGGCACCAGCTTCCACCCCTCCTTTGTTTGCAGCTGCAGCTGCTCCCCGAACCACCTGAAGTGCTGCTCCCTGCTGCGGGCTCGCTTGCTCACAACCTCATCCTCATTTGCCTCTCCCTTGATCCACTTCATGGCCTCCTCATCCGCCCAGATCTCCTTTGGTCCCTTCTGTCCTCCTGCTGCTGTGCCCTCCCTCTCTATTTCCTTGGCCAGCAACGTCAGATACGCCGCCGCGGTGGCTCTCGGTGGTGGGTTCCTCGATAAGCCATCCACGTGCTGCAGGGTCTTCCTTGGGCCGATGCTTTATGTCAAACTCGTATTCCTGTAACCTCATCGCCCACCGCGCGTTTCGTCCGGTCAGAGTCTGATTCCTCATCAGCCACGTCAGGGGCTGGTGGTCTGCTACAAGTGTGAAGCGTACTCCTTGCAGATACATGCTGAAATGCTGCACTGCCCATACTGCCGCCAGTGCTTCCCTTCGTACAAATTGTAATTGGCCTCCATCGCAGTGCAGCTCCTGCTGGCAAAGGCAATCACCTTCTCTTCTTTCTCGCCTTCCTTTCCCCCTCTTTCTTCAGCTCATGACACAGGACCGCCCTGATTCCCGCGCTGCTCCAGTCCGTGTACAGGACGAAGGGGTCCGTCTTGCTGGGCAGGTATAGGACGGGGCCCGTCTTCACCGCTCCCAGCAGATCTTTCAGCGCCACTTCCTCCTCTTGCCCCCAATTCCATGGCTGATCCTCTCGAAGCAGCCGATGCAGGGCCGTTGCTCTCCTGCTGAAGTTCAGGATGAACTTCTGATAGTAATTCAAGAACCCCAGTACCACTCTCAGGGTGCTCATGTCCTTAGGTGTGGCCAGCCGGTCTAGGATTGCTACCTTCGCTTCCTGAATCGTCATGCACCCCTCCCTAACCTGAAACCCCAGATATTCCACTCCTCTCTAGCCGAACTTGCACTTTCCGGATCTCCTCAAGCACCTGCGCCACATGTCCACGTGCTCTTCGGCCGACCTGCTGTATATGATCACGTCGACGATGTAACACTCGGCAAATTCCGTGCCTTGCAACACTCGGTCCATGATGCGCTGGAAGATGGCTAATGCATGACAGAGCCCGAACGGCATGAATGCCCATTCATATAGTCCGTCCGTCCGTGGAAGGCCGTCTTCTTACAATCTGCTGCCTGGATGGGGATCTGATTAGTCCCTTGTCACAGGTCTACTGTCGAATGCATCACTGCACCCCACAGCTTCGCAAAGATCTCTTCGGCGGTCCGGCATGGCGTAGCAATCCGGCTTGGTTACCTTGTTTAGATCTCTGTAGTTGCCACACATCCTCTGTCCATGCTCTTCCCCCGTCACGTCCATCCGCGTTGCCACCACAGCGGCCGCTGCATAATCTGACTCGGACTCCCGAGTCAGCCCTGCCTCCTTCAATTCCTTGCACTTCGCTCGATAGAGCTCCTCGTCCCCTGGGCTCATGCGCCGTCACCGCTGAAAGCACGGTGTCTCACTCATCATGTCAATATTCAGCTCCCCAGTGTACACTTCTCCAGTTCTTGCAGTGTGAAGGCAAACGCTCCCTTGCTCGCCTCTAGAAGCCTCTTTAGCTCCTCGCCCAGCTTCAGGTTCAATCCATTGCCCATCTTCCATTGGTGCGGTTGCAGTTCCCCGGCTTCCACCACCATCAGACCGAAGCATTCGGCGGCCATTCCATCCCTGCGCTCTGCATTTCTCCTTCCTCGCCTGCTCATGCCTCTCGCCAGTCGCCCTGCTTCTCGCCTTCTCAATTTGCACTGGTTGCATGCTCGCTTGAATCAAATGGAAGATCCAGGACACCGCCTACATGTCCATGGCTCGCCCTAGCGCACGGTTCATGATCCAATCCGCCACATCCAGTGCTGCCGTTGCTCTTTGCACCATACCCAGTGCCAGCTCTTGCTCTAGCAGTCGGGGTTCGCTCCACGTATTCATCTGATAATCGAATACCATGCCCGGTCCCGGTTGTCCTTGGAAATTGCACTACGTGTGTGCCCTTCATACGCTACCAGCGTTGGCCAGGCCTCTCGGGATGTCCCACTCGGTTGCAGGGATAATGCACTGAGTGGTCGGGTTTGTCCACGCCTGCCTCCCTGCGGAACGGCTCCAGTATGTCTCACACCAGGCGCCCTTGCGGCCTTTCCACCCTCGCTAGTTCGTACTGCATCCTTGCCTCCATGATGTCGTTTGTCCAGTAACGCCTGACGCGATGTGCCCTGCTTCCCGTTTGCGCCGTGTCAAAGGCCACGCCTGCCCCCAGCTCCGAGACCACCCTGCTGTGTGCCCGCCGAACCGGCTCTCGTGGGTCCACCGCCGTGTCTACGTTCTCCAGCAGGTACAGGTATTCCCCTTGATGTTTGTTTACTCTTTTCATGATGCGCATCAGCTGTTCAAACTGCTCTGTCCTCCGGTCTTGCATCCCCAATCCCTGTCATGACACGCCCTGGCACTCCTAGCCGGCGATCAGTACATCAATGTCACCCCATGCCTTCAGGTGTTCATCTGTCACCTTGCGCACGTCATGCCACCAACGCGTTCCATGGTCCTGTTTTCGCTCCTTCCATTAGCTGCCCAAGGAAACTTCTCCCTCAGCTTTCCTCACGCGCTCCACTGCCATCACTCGCGAGGTCTCTTCCAGCTCTACATGGATCCACTTCTCTACTACCCATCCAACTCTCAGCTGCGATGCCAATCCATTCGCTATGCCGCCGATGAGCTCTAGGACCACCACCGGCCTCTGTGGCAGCTCACAGTCAAGCAACAACCCAGGAATAACTTCTTTCCTCGTTGCCCACTCTTCGTCTCTGTGCATCTCTTCCTGCGCTGCTTCATACTGCATCCAGTCTGGCTCCTCTAGCTGTGGCTTCAGCATCGATGTCCGCGCCTGGTATGCCGCTCAGGGTCTTGCTGCACGAACCTCACTGGCAGCATCCCTCTTGGGCCCTCCTCTCTCCAGTATTGCGGCCTGAACACCATCTTCTCTTGCCAGGTGCATAGGGTCGCTCCCAACTTGTACAGTAACTCCATGCCTAGGAGCAGGTCATAATCCTTCGACTGGGATACCCCACACCACATCCGGATCCGCGTTTTGTCCTTTTTCCCCAGCGGGAGCACGATTTTGACTGGCCGCTTGCTGCATGGCATCCATTTCGGCTCTCCTTCTTCCGCTGTCATTAGCAGGTAGCCCTGCTCTTGCACCTGTTCCGCGTCGTTCAGTCCTAGCCGCTCCGCCAGCCCCCTTCCGACCAGCACTTGGTGCGCTCCTGTATCCATGATTACGGTCTCCACTGCCAGTCCTCCCACCGTTACAGCCTTACGCTCTACCATGAGCACCGTGCTCTCACACAACAGGCGTTCCGATGGAGGTCGATGTGCCGGATCATCTACCTCAGGGTCTCTCTCCACCGCCACCTGACGCTGCTGTGCGCCTAGCTCCTGCCTCGGTAGGACCATTCTTCTGGCCGCAGCTATGCTCGTCCTGTACGTATGTGGCATGTGTACCATGAGCGCGAACGACGCCTCACTGCCTTCGTCATACTCCTGATCGGCATATGCGAGATGCGCCCGGCTAGGCCTCTCCTCCCCCTTCTTAGCGGCGATTTGCCTTTGTAGCCTCGCCATCTGCTCATTCAACTCCTCTAGGGTGATCTCCCTTTCTTGCCCTCCTCTCTTCGCATAGCACTCCTCCGCGCGGTGTCCCTGTTTGCCGCAGTGGCTGCAGGCCGGTATGGTTGGGCATTCGCGTCAGAGATGGCTTTCCTCCCCGCAGCGATCGCATGTCAGCGCCTTCTTGTAGTCCCGCTGCAGATGCCCTGCTTTACTGCAGCAATGACACTTCCACCGATACGGTCCCGCCAATCCTTCCGCCCTCGATCCCTGCTCCTTCTCGATGCATCGCTGGCGTGGCCTCCGGTGACGCCTGCAGTGTTGCCGACTAGGCCGCCTTCTTCCTCTCCTGCATTTTCTGCTCGATCCGCTCCAGCTCGTACTTTCAATTCCCCTGCTCGTACATGTCGCCAGGTCATAGGTGTGCTGCAGCGTTGCACGCCTCCCATCCTGAAGATCTCTTCCTTTACTTCCCGCACCAGAGATTTTTCCAACCCTACGAGAAATTTGGTGATTAGCCGCGCTTCGTCTCGGTATTCCAAGTCCTCTGCCAATTCCTTCAGGCGACTGTAATACATCATTAGAGACTCCCTCTCCGCCTTGAGAAGCTTGCCAGCTCCTGCATGCGTTATGGCATCTGCACTAGGAACTGCTCACATAGCTGCTCTAAGAACGCGTCGACCATTTCCCATTCCCGGCCCGGACGCATCGCCCATCGCTGCAGATTATCTGCTCTCACGGTCCAGTACAGCCGTTCTGCCTCCTTGCTCTGCGTGCTGGATAGGCCGCAGAAGAATTCTTCTACGTCGTATCCCTCTTTCGCCCACCGATACCGCACGTTATCCAACGGCATCAAGTAGTTCCTCAACTCCGCTCCTTCGCAGGAGTCCCTGAGAAGCGATCTGGCACGCGGATCTCCGGGAGCGAAGCCCCTCGCATCCTCGACGCGGTCCACGACCCGGAAGACGGTTCCTCTTGCTGCTGCCTTTCACGACCCAGCCCCCGACGTCTCATAAGGTCTTTGTAGTGGATCTTCTGTGGCGGATCTACTCGTGCTGGCCCGCACATCCGTTCCCGCCCGGACATCTTCCTCTCGCACTTGACCGGCCAGATCCCCTTGCTGATGCGTCGTCCTGGGGCACGAAATGTCGTGGCAGGCTCTGGACCCTCCGCACCGCGAGATCCTCTGCCTTGTAGACCAGGTCGTCTACGTAGACTAAGATGTAGAACAGAGTCTGGCTAGAGCGAACGAAGAGAGTCGGATCAGCAGAGGATGGAACAATTGAAGGTCTGCTAGCCTAGCAACCAGCGTATCGTGCCACTCTCGGGGCGCTTGTCGCAGACCGTAAACCGAGCGCCGGAGGAACCAGTTGGTCCCAGGAGGGAAAGTGCAAAAGAAGCCTGGCAGACAGTGCAGGTAGATCTGCTCATGCGGACTGCCCTAGAGGAAAGTTGTGGAGAATTCCAACGAGTGAAGCATCGCGATGTACTGCTACGTAAAGCAACGCCCGAAGAGTGGTCAGCGTCGGGGTCGGGGAGAAGTTCTGAAAGAAGTCAATGCCCTCGCGCTGACTGAAGCCTCTAGCAACGTAGTGCACCTTGAACACCGGCGGCTCTCAGGAGGGCGCTTCACCTTGAAGAGCCACCGGCCATCGACTACGTTCGCCCCATGTGGGGGAACTGCGTCGACGTACGTGCCGGTGGAACTCCAAGATGTCATCTCTGCATCCATGGAACCTATCCACTGAGAGGCCCAGGGTCCGAAGTCGCCCAGCGTAGGTGGCGAGGGGTCTGATTGTCTGGAGCATCTAGGTCACCTCAGGGGCTAGCAGCATAGAGCAGAGATGAGGATCGGCCTTGGAAAGGAAAGCTAGCTCGTATTGCCTATCCTCTAGGACGTCACTGCCAAGGGCAGGTGCACCCGCGACAGACGGAGGACGAGCAGGATTAGAGACCATAGCAGTGACGTAGTCAAGACGGTGGGTAGAGGCAAAGTCAGTGATGGCAGCGACAAGAGCCGAGAGACTGGAGACAGGAATGGACGGGTCGGTAACACAAGAGGCGAGGACACGAGGAACCAGAGGACGAGCAGCACGGAGGAATTCAGAAAGAGGAGGCGAGGAGACACAAAGGGACGACGGAGGAGGCAACAGAAGAAGAAAGAGCGCGAGGAGCACAAGAGCGTAAGGAGAGAACAGGGCGAGCACGAGAGGCATGGTGAGACCACCAGGGAGAGGGGGGCGTAGGGTCAGGAGACAGAGGAGGAGACACAGGAGGAGAATGAGGGGGGAAACGAGCCGGGGACGAGTCTGGCTGAGGGAACACAGGGCTGTAGACAGGAGGAGGAGGTGGCATTGGGGAAGGCATGTGCGGTTGGTCGGGGAGGGAAGACTGAGGAGGCGAAGGGCAGACAGTGGTGGCGACTGTTGCTGCTGCTACTGCGGCGGCGTCTGCTGCTCCTCCGCGCCCACGCCAGAACCTTCAGTTGCATGACGGCTACCTCCAGGTCTCGCCACTACAGCACCCATAGGACCGCACCCCCAAGACTAGCACCCCCAGAACTGGCACCCCTCCGCAGAGGGCAGCACCCCAGTTCCAGCACCTCCGAAGCTCACTGACCCTGCTGCTGAGGCAGCTGCTACTGCTACTACGCCTGCGGCGACTGCTGCTGCGGCGGTGGCTTCTGCGGTGACTGCTGTTGCTGCTGCGGCAGAGGAGACACCAAGGCCGAGGGCGCAGGTGCCACAAAACAGGCGAGCCTTAGGGCCATTGGAGTCAGCAGACTCCTCCGCCTGGCCAAACGAAGGAAGGGGAGTGACATGAGACACACCAGACGGGGCAGGACGGGAGCAGGAGCTACCGAGAGAGTGGGGACCAGGAACAGGGGCGGGGTAACCGGGAGACCTCGGTGGGGAAGGCGGGTGCAGAAGGAGACAAAATCGTTAAAGGTGACGTCACACCGAGTGAAAGAACTGGTGAGACGGCGGGTGGTAAAAGTGCCAGTCAGACGCGTCAAAGAGAAGCCAAGAAAGACACAAGGGACGGTGCGGGCATGAGCTTGTCCGTGCGAGAGTCGTGGACGTGAGCTAGGCAGCCTAGACGTGAAGCGGATACGCGTCACTAGGAGACCCCGTCCAAAAAAGGGTCGGCGAAACCTGTGGCTGCTGGGAGCGCGACCACTAGTTAAGCTGGTGAGCGCCCGTAGCGAACTGCGAACGGCCACTAAAAATGGGTTGCACGGGCATGGATGATGGAGGTACGAGCACCTCCATGATCAAACCGATGCGTCGTCCAGCAGTGTGTACGACTGGGTGATGCCCTCCGCATGACAGAACTGGCCAAGCCGACCGGAGGCGAACTCACCGCCACGGTTGGAGTGGAGACAGAGCACTGGCTGGGCGCAATGTACTCACACAGCTATAAGCCACGGGATAAGAATGGCCCAGAAATGGGGGCAGGGCCCAGACGTCTAGGTGCAGGGTCTGAAGTGGTGCGGAAACGAGAGGAGTGAGGAGCACGGCGCAGTCGGCCCTCAACGCAAGGCATGCACAGAGGTGTGGTTGAGGGAGGGAGGGCAGGGAGCGACGCAGTGAGACCTAAGACGAGACTGTGCTTGGGCATGTGATGTAGACGCGGGAGTGCAGGGTGACCTAGGCGGTGGTGCCTTAGAAGCGACGGGTGAGTGAGCCACTGACACGAGCAAGCCGCAGCAACCTGGGTTGCCACAGCCACTTGGGGGGACGTATCCATTGGTAGGGACGCGGTGTCTAGCGTGAACAGGCCAGACACCGGGTCCTGGGGGAACGTGGTGAGGGGGGCACCAGTGGCGGCCTCAGTACAGACTGCGTACCGCTCGTGTCCAGGAAATTTAGTGGTGACACTGAGGTCCTGAGGACAGCCGATTCCAACTAGGTTCCTGGAAAACGAGGGGATGTGCAAACCTGTAAGTGGGCCTAAGGGAACCGCCGGACAGGAAGTGTGGTGGAGCTATGTGCAACTACCGGATCAGAGGAGGGGTCAGCAAGGGCAACAGCTGCTGGGGCAGCAAGCGGCATGAGAGTAGTGTGGTTGTGAAAGAAGCAGGTGGACGCACCAGAGACCAGCGTGAAGGAGAGCGCGGCGGTAGTGTCAGCCGGCGGGGGCACTAGCGTGGAGCCAAGGCTAAACAAGTCAGAAGGTCCTACACTTGATGCAGCAGGGGAGCCAAGACTACACACAGCGGACACGCCTAGGCTAGGAAACAAATGGTAATAAGGTCCAGTTACACTAGAGTGATCCGGATACATGGCATACATAGCAGAGCGAATCTGATCCATATCGAGCTCAAAGGTCAGCATACGACAACGTACCAGGCTGTGCCAGTCCAAGAGGGACGGCGTAGGCCCGAAGCGGAGCCGGAAGAGGTCGTCGAAGTGGTGGTAGCCGTGGGCAGCGTTGTGATCGGGATGATCACACACGGTGCCACGAAGGGGACCAAACTAGATCTGGTACTGGCAACTCACAGAATTGGAGGCACCACCCGACATCGAGCTGCGAGGCCGCCTTCGCGACCACCACCACCAAAGCCGCCGGGCTACCACAGCTGTGGGGGTCCCCATAGATGCTGCTGGCGGCTGCTGCTGCTGGGGCTGCTTTTGCTGCCTCAGCTGCAGCTTCTGCTGCTGCTGCTCTGGGGCGTCAGCCCCCACCCCCTCGTCTGCACCTCCTACGCTCGCACAACCTCCACCACCCCCGCCACCCTCATCCCCCTCCCTTCCCCCACCCCCCTCTGAGTCGACGGCCCTTACCCTGACGAAGCTGCGCTGAGGCCGCCATAGCAATCTCAGCGATAGGGACTGTCTCAACGACAGCGACAGAAACGTCAGAGTAAGTGCAATGGGAGGGAGCACAGCCCTGAAAGATAGGGAC